GAACTTTTCCAGGCCCTCTTTAGCAGGGTGGGACTGGGAGGAGAGTGCTGTAGCCCTTTAGCTGGAAGCTAACCGGAGCCAGAAACCTCAGCACAAAGTGCGTTCGTTAATCTGAGCCAGCATGACGAACAAGGGAAGCGAGCAGCAGCGGAAAGCGGGGGCAGAGCGGAGATAGTGGAATTTTGGGGATACAGTCTGTGCTGGAGCAGGTGAACCAGGCGGCGGCACGGCGGCCCAAAGTAAGCTCAGCCCGGGAAGCGCCGCTCGGCAGCACCGTCTCCAACGCTCCGGTGTCGGCGCATGGAGGAAGTGGTGGTGCCGAAAACACGAGCGGTTATGTAAGGCTGGCAAACATCTCAACCTTCGGATGGCGAGACAGCCGAGCAGCGCGGGGAAGCTCGTAGGGGGCGGGCGTATTACGTGAACAGACCCATCTGATTGGCCGCATATCAGAAGGGCTACATTTGATTGGTCAAATAATATGTCCGCATAAAAACAGAGCTGGTTTACAAAAAGTTGATGTATGACACGGATGGAAATGTTTGAACCAAACATTTATCGCCGTTTTTGACGAGCTTTGCGATGGGCCTATCGCACGTCCTGTTATCGCGATGACGATAATTTTTCGATATATTGTGCAGCCCTAATCATCATCATCATAATATTAATCATAATAAATTGAGAAACTACATGAAATTAATATTCTAATTGTCACACATTTTGAATTTAGGCTTTTCATAAACTGTAAACCATAATTGCAATTATAATAAATAAAGGCTTGGAATATCTGTATGTGCATGGAACGAGTCTATCTCAGATTATTTTCACCTTTTAAGTTGAAATATGACATAAATTAATTTTGCATGGAATTTTTCAAGTTTCAGCTGTCAGTTCTTCAAGAGGCATACTGTCAAGCATCCAATATGTATCATTGTTTGATGTTTTGCATTTGAGAATGTGTATCCATCCACCCATCCATTTTTGGCCACTTATCCGGGGTTGGGTCGGGGGGGCAGCAGCCTAAGCAGAGAGGCCCAGACTTCCATCTCCCCAGCTCCTCCAGGGTAATCTCAAGTTGCCCCCAGGCCAGCCGAGAGACATAGTCCCTCCTGGGTCTTCCTTTAGGTCTCCTCCCGGTTGGGCGTGCCCAAAAAGCATCACCAGGGAGGCAACCAGGAGGCATCCTAACAAGCCCGAGTCACCTCAACTCGCTCCTCTTGATGTGGAGGAGCAGCACATCTACTCTGAGCCCCTCCTGGGTGACCGAGCTTCTCACCCTATCTCTAAGGGAGAGCCCAGACACCCTGCGGAGAATTTTTGGCCGCTTGAATGCGCAATCTCATTCTTTCAGTCACTATCCAAAGCTGGTGACCATGTGTGAGGGTTGGAACGTAGATTAACCAGTAAATCTTCTCCAGGACAGACTGGTAAACCGCCAGCATCACTGCAGATGCAGTACCAATCTGCCTATTGACCTTCTGCCCTCTGTGGCATTACATAACGTTAACCCTTTAAAGAAATAGGTAATTAAGCACAGGAAGTTGGCTTACTGGTTTAATTCTGAACTACATACTTTAAAACAAAACTAGAAAATTGGAGAGAGCATGGTGCTCTACACACCGGGAAGAGTCCTACTTATCCTGGAAAAATAGTCTAGTGCTTTATAAAAATAAGCTTCGACAAGCTAGAACCATATACTTTTTCATCACTAATCGAGGATAATAAGAACAAGCCTAAATTTCTTTTCAGTACAGTTGCCAAACACACAGAATCATAGATCTGAACCATCTATTCCCTTAGCCCTCAGCAGAAAATAGTGGCCAATTAAGTATGTGAGCATCTGAACCCTAATTATCTGTTTGAGGAATTTCAGTCTGGTTTTAGAGACCTGAAACCGCATTAGTGAAAGTTACAAGTTATATTCTCATGGCTGAGAAAAGAATCTTGTGTCTGTTCTAGTCTTGTTAGATCTCAGTGCTGCCTTTGACACAGTTGATCACAATGTTCTTTTAGAAAGGCTTGAACAGGTTGAAGGGATCAAAGGAACAGCGCTAGGCTGGTTTAAATCCTACCTGTCTGACGGATTTAATTTTGTTAATGTACATGACAAATCTTTTGTATACTCCAAGGTTACTTGTGGAGTACCACAGGGTTCAGTACTTGGACCAACTATTTTTACCATAAATATGCTTCTAATTGGTAAAATCATTAGACAGGTGTGTGTGTGTGTGTGTGTGTGTGTGTGTGTGTGTGTGTGTGTGTGTGTGTGTGTGTGTGTGTGTGTGTGTGTGTGTGTGTGTGTGTGTGTGTGTGTGTGTGTGCGTGCGTGTCTGCTCTGTCTTCTCGATCCCCAGTGAGTCGTAGCGGATGGCTGCTTATACTGTGCCAGGATCTTCTGGTGGTTTCTTCCTGTTAAAAGGGAGTTTTCCTCTCCACTGTCGCTACATGCTTGCTTACTATGAGGATTGCTGTAAAGATACTGACACCAGTCAGTATCTTCCTTACATACAAAATGTTTTACTGATTGGCTTAATGAATTGAACTGTGTTGGAATGTTTACCCCTCCACTTGAGGCAGGACCCTCCTAACATGAGAAGGCATCTACCCTTTTCTGTCTCAAGACCAAAGTCTCGAATTTAGAGGAGCTGATCTCATCCCAGCTGCGAACCGCCCCAGCAAAAGTTGGAGATCAAAAATTGGTGTATGTTTAAATGTATAATTTTGCAGAGAACTCTTTCTAAAACAAATTAAAAGTTGAACAACATGCACAATTTTTGGCATGTGTTGTGTTATGTTGTGTAAAACTGAAATAAAGTAAGCGTACACCCTCACAGCATTTGGGGTTTTAAAGAACATTTTTAACACCAACATGATGCACTTGTTATAGCTTTGGCTTTACTTTCATATGTCACAACAAAAGGTACAAAGCTCTCATAATGGTTCTGCTTCAAATGAGACAGAGTTTGATTCCCCGTGGTGCCCTGCTGACAGAGTGCTGTTTGTTAATGCAAAACCAAATCATTGCAATGTTGATTGCATGACTTATTCTTTGCCTTACTGATGAGCAACCTGCTTCTTTTTTTTAAGTTGCCTGATAAAGATCAATCAAGTATCATTAATACCAATTGGTGTTCTTTGTGTTTTGTTATCATTATAAAACTCAAACTGTCAAACCACTGGTAAAGAACAACAGAACTTAAGAGACTAAGGCCCTCATTTTTCACCCGTAATTTATCAGACCCGTGCATATTTTGTGTGTAGGAACTAATTAACGTATTGTGGGGAGTTCTTCATTTTGCACTTGTGTGTGAAAATGTTCCTAAATATAAGAAAACCTCACGCCATGTGTAGGAACAGCATCTAGTGGTAGAACAAGGGAACTACAACACAGAAGGTCTCGGTCGTCCACACATGCTCCTCATCCACAAATTATTTTACCCAAATAAATAATTATTTTGGTGGAAAAACAGCAGTGTCACATATTGGTGATAAAACCTATAAAAGACACCTCTGACCAACGAAAACCTGACATTGTATCATGGCTGATGTTATTTTTTAACCACTAATTTTACTCTTCCCATTTTTTATGAAATTTTTAAACATTATATATTTTTATGTATTTATTGTTTTAGTATATGACTTTTATTTATTGTCCTTGAAAACAGCCTTGTGATTTTTACTTCTTGTTATTATTATTATTATTATTATTATTTTTTTTTTTTGGTTTGTTTTTGTTTGTTTATTTCCTTTTGGGGAGGATTTGGCAGTGTGCACTCTGGAAGGAACGGATCTTCCATAAGTGCAGTGCACTGATCTGATTCCTGAAGGAGATCCTTCTAGACCTATGCTGTGATTTGGGACCCTTTGTGGAGCGACAGAAAAGCCGCACAAACCCTATGAGAACCCTCCAGAACTTCCTCTGCTCCTATATACACGTTGCCAAGGTAACCAGACTGAATGACAACTCAGAAGAGGCTGCACTATCAGACTACATTTCCAAATAAAACTAACTTCAAACAGAACGACATATACTTAATACAAGTGTACTGTTGTTGATAGGGTCAGTGTTTTGATAAACAAATGCTTTAGCTGTGTATATTTCTTTAAATCACTTTTTAAATTTTTCATTACAATCACTATGCCGTAGAAGGCACTTGATTTGATTTGTGACGTGTAACGTGTGCACGTGCACCAATCTTTTAATTGAATCTTCTGAAAAAGAAAATCAATAGTTAAGCCCGCATGCCTTGCTGCAAGTGTGAAGGAGGCCAGATGCAATTTTTCTTGTACAACCAGCACCACCCAAACCACTCAAAAAAATTTTGAGCTAATACTTGAAGATACAGCAAATGTCATTAAACACCAATCCAATTGCAAAAACCTGCAGCTTCTTAATTTATCTGAAGGCGAGGCTGGTAACCTTATTTTATTTTAAAAATGAATCGTACTGTTTCCCAAAGGGTTCTCAGTAGGATTTTCACTTCAAACATCTGTTACAGCCCGTCTTTGCACTTATTAAGTTAGATTTGTTTAATGGGATTTTCATTTTATCACTGAAACTGTGGCTAATTTTTAGTTGTTTTGTTTTTCTCCTCAAAAGATCTAATAATTTTTTTTGGCGTTTCCTGTTTTGCTTCAGTACGGTAACAGGGAGCTGGTGCCAGCATTCCCCAGGTCAGACATGGGGGACACCCTGGACAGGTCACAAGTCCATAACATTGAGACATTCGGTCATACGATCACACCTCAGGACAATTTAGGGTTGCAAATCAACTTTTAGTGTGTGGGAGGAAATCGGAGTACCTGTAGAAATTCCACATATGCATAGAAAGAACATCCATGCTCCACGCACAGCACAGGTGGGATTCAAACTGCAGTCGTCCCAATGCAAGGCAACAATGCTACCAACTGCACCACCATTCAACCCATCAGTGTAAACATTCTTTTAACACACATCTGCTTAATGTTTGACATTGGTGTGGCCAGCAGTGCTCACTTACCGAGGAGACGTATTGGATTTCCCGACAGAGTTTTGTCTCCCGGGGAAAATCTACCAGATCCAGAAAGTTGTCCACTACTACTTGACCGATTATGTCGTGACGTGAAAAGCGATCAAAGTCATAGACACTGAAGTGAAGCTTTCTTGTGGGAAGCTCAGAGTACGCCACAGGAAACAGGAAGACCTCATCAAATACAGGGTTGAGAGTCTTGCGATGCACCTTGGTCTGGTGCTTAGTCTTACGATCGGGCAGCAGGTAGATCTTAACATAAGGATCAGAGGTACCAGAGAAGTCCTTGGCTGGGAGGTCCTCAGCTTTGTGGATTTTAACTATTAATTGTTCCAAGTCGCAGTCAAATTTGAGAATAAAATGAAGGCATCCACAGTCCCCTCCTCTACGATTGCCTTCATCCCCTTCGAGTGAGCGTTGCTTATAGAGCTCTGGTTTAAGGCGGCCCAGGCCCAGGCCCATTCCAGTCAGGGAGTCCTGCCTTTGAAACTGTGCCACATTGAAGTCTGGGTTAGAGAGGTTCATGTGTCTTCGAATGGTACCTTGACTGTAGACAAAGGGAAATGGACGACAAAGAAAGCCATTAATGCTCTCAAAAGTATTTTTAAAAAGGTCAATTTCATGCATTAGAGAAGGTTCGGAAAACTTGCATATTTGTTGTCTTTCTACTGAAAATCAAAAAAGCCTAAAAAATTACATTATTGTATCACTTCAGTTCAGTAAATGTTGTAACCATGTTGAAACACCAGCTGTCCACTGGCGTTTTTACTTCATCATTCAACGATATTGCATTATGGAAAAAAATACTGTATCTTCTAACAAAAACTAGTACTTTGAAATAACATGTTTAACATTTTTATTTAGTAGAAAAGAGCAATAAAATTGCATTAAGGTCAATAGATATTAATGAACATGATCTATCTTTAAAGACATGTCTCAGTATCTACACTAGAACTGAAGGATATTAAAGAGCAAGCCACCCCCAAATCACATGTTTTTTGCTGATAAACTATGTGAAGGAGTGTCTAATCATGCTACGGAGACGTGTAGTCAATAATTTGGAACTTCAGTGCATCTTGGTTAAAATTAAAATATTCTGCCTAAAACTGTCAGTGTTGCGCCGTCGTCAGGGAAAATTTCTGCACTGTATTTGAATTTAAATCTGCCACCGCTATTGGTTAAGAGGTATGCTATGATGTCATCTGGTATATTATGATGTCATAATGTCATTGTGAGCCTGTGTGCATGTGTATTTGTTAGCGGCTCCGCCCTCTTGGTCAGCCAAGCAACAGCATTTGTTGCATTTTTCAAACATGAAGTGGGAGTGAAGTACGTTTCTTGTAGGGGGTGACTTGCTCTTTAAGTTCTCACATAATAATATTGATTTATTAATCACACACAGACAAAGAAATTATTAAAGAAACAATACTGACCCAATTTCAGACATCGGGCAACCACCTGGTGCAGGTTCTGTGGTCTGCCTCTGCATACGAGGGTTAGTGTGAACCCCATTTTCCCGACTTTTACTCTGAGCATCCAGTGGTATGTCAGGGGACGTGTGGCTAATCTTCATAGCTGCCTCTGGTGTGGCCAAGATGACAGGAGGGGGTGATACAGGAGTCATGGGAGCCTCCACCGACACCACAGACGCCACAGGGGTGGGCTCTTTGGCGATGGAACAATGTGACGACTTACGTCTGTTGTGAGCTGGAGGATCCACAGCAGTGTAAACTGGCTGTCTGGGGACAGGCTGTGAGGGCAGAGGGCTCATGGTAGGGTTGATGTGCCCATGAGGCTCCTTGGTGGTGGGGGACAGACCTCGCTCCCTCCATGGTATCCAGCACAGTTTCCAGGACACAAAGAGGGAAACCCCAAAAAGAGCCAAGCCACAGGCTGTTACCACTAGTGACAGCAAGCTGACTGATATATCTGAGAGGGTGAAAGGAGAAAAGCGCCCCAGGATTAGACAATAAGAACTTATGAAGTCGTTTCAGGCAAACAAAAAGGAGAAAATAATGTCAACATAAAGGTCTTCTAATGCAAGTAAAACAATAAGGCAGGGGTTTGCTCTATTGCCTTGTTACATGACTGCTAGACTATTTGTGTTTTCTCTCCACCTCCCTTTTCTCTACATGTATCCTTAGGTGCAGAATGCAGTGCTAATTTTGGGTTTGATTGGAAGGTGCTTCTAAAAAGGACCAATCAGGAACTGAGACTGCCCAATAAAAGCCTTACATTTGTAGGGTTCCCCCTCTTTATTCCTCCGGGCTGATTAATTGGAACACAAATGCTGCTCTGGAGCTTTGTCCTTTGATGATTTGTGGTGGAAAGAAGTTCGTGCACAAGGTAACATGGGGTACTCTATCCATTTCTCACAAAAAGTAATTGTCTGTTCTAACACAAAAAAAGCTGGTGCTACCCATTTAAAATTTTGCAAACTTTTTGTTAGACGAGGATTTATAGGTTAGTTTTTGTTTGTTTAAAGATAAGGGACAGCTAAGCCCTGGTTTGGTTTTTCTTTGATGTGGCAAAACCCAACACTCCCTTTCACCCCCACAGTTGCATAGCCTTCTAGACTTTTTTTCTGATGCATCCAAGCCTACAAATAAAGACTTTCTCACTCTTACAGGAACTGTGTCATATTATTGTGTTTGTCGTGTTACACCCCTCACTCCATTTCCACTCCAGTGGTTTGTTCAGGATTTGAACTTGGGACCTCTCCTGTCTCCAGTACCTCTGCCAGTCAACTTCAGGGTTCATTACAATATCTTGGTTCTGGTCTATAGGGCCTTACATGGACAGGCACCATCATACATTGTTGATCTTCTCAGTCCCTACACCCCCAGCAGGTCCCTGAGGTCCAGTGACCAAAGCCTACTGGTTGTGCAGCACCAGGCTAAAGACCAAAGGTGACGGATCATTTGCTGCTGTGGCCCCCAGACTCTAGAACTCTCTCCCCCTGAGCCTGAGATCAGTGGACTCAGTGGTCTCCTTTAAAAAGCAGCTGAAACTCACCTGTTCAAGCTGGCTTTTGCGTGACCTTCATCACCACCCTCTCCTTATTCTGTTCTTATTCCGCCTTCCCTGGGATCCACTGATTTCCCTCTTTCCTATTCATTCTCTCTCTCTCTCTCTCCCTTTCTTTACATTTTATTTATTTTATTTACAATTTTTATTTTTTCTCATTTTAAACATATGTTTATTTATTTTTTTAAATATTTTTTATACTTATTTTTTGTTGCGAAGTGCCTCGTGATTTTCATCTTGAGAGACGCTATATAAAAGATTGTTTTCTCTCTCTCTCTCTCTCTCTCTCTCTCTCTCTCTCTCTCTTTCTCTCTCTCTCTCTCTCTCTCTCTCTCTCTCTCTTACACACACACACACACAAACACACACACTATGCAAAAACAGAATGAGTCATATTTTGACCTAACTTGAGGTCAAAGTCCTCTGGGCCAAAGAGCAAGCCTACTCATGGTGGTTTCTCATGTTGGCAATTTTCTCAAGAATACTTTCAACGGGTATTACCAGTTTTTGGTACGAGGACCTGTAAAGGTCCTCCAACCCCATGTCCAAACAGCGCTGCAGAACCACAAGGCAAGAAGATTGCAGGTTCAAATTTTGGTGACTGACTTCCTGTTGGAATTTACCCCTTCTTTCCACAATATATAAAAGCAGTGTGTAATGTAATAGCTGTGCTTTACCCGTGACTTCCCTTTCATTCGGAAATGATTCAGACTCGAAATGGAAGCGAAAAGCGTTCTGTGCCACTGCTCCCGAAAAGACATAAAATCACAAGAGAATTGCAACACCACGTGATTAAGTCGACACCATAACAAGCAAGGAAAAAGAAGGCAACATGTATACAAAAAGGTCTGTGGTTTATTTTCTGTTCTATTTACATCGTCTACATAGGTTTCACAGAAAAGGATGCATGGTTATTTGCACGTGACTTTTGTTTGGAATGTTACTGGTTGTTTTTACGTTGCTTTCATGTTTGACTACCTTTCTGTGAAATTTGAGGTGTTTTGGAAGTATATGTCGTCGTCTTCCTCCGCTTATCCGGGTCCGGGTCGCGGGGGCAGCATCCCAACCAGGGAGCTCCAGACTATCCTCTCCCCGGCCTTCTCCACTAGCTCCTCCGGCAGGACCCCAAGGCGTTCCCGGACCAGATTGGAGATGTAACCTCTCCAAAGTGTCCTGGGTCGACCCGGGGGCCTCCTGCCAGCAGGACATGACCGAAACACCTCCCCGGGGAGGCGTCCAGGAGGCATCCTGACCAGATGCCAAAACCACCTCAACTGACTCCTTTCGATCCGGAGGAGCAGCGGTTCTACTCCAAGTCCCTCCCGAATGTCCGAGCTCCTCACCCTCTCTCTAAGGCTGAGCCCGGCCATCCTACGGAGGAAACTCATTTCGGCCGCTTGTATCTGCGATCTCGTCCTTTCGGTCATTACCCAAAGCTCATGACCATAGGTGAGGATTGGGGCATAGATTGACCGGTAAATCGAGAGCCTGGCTTTCTGGCTCAGCTCCCTCTTTACCACGACAGATCGGCTCAGCGTCCGCATCACTGCAGATGCTGAACCAATCCGCCTGTCGATGTCCCGATCCCTCCTACCCTCACTCGTGAACAAGACCCCGAGATACTTAAACTCCTCCACTTGAGGTAGGACCTCTCTCCTGACCTGGAGTTGGCAAGCCACCCTTTTCCGGTCGAGAACCATGGTCTCAGATTTGGAGGTGCTGATCCTCATCCCAGCCACTTCACACTCAGCCGCGAACCTACACAGTAAGAGCTGAAGATCAGAGCTGGATGAAGATAGGAGGACCACATCATCCGCAAAAAGCAGAGACGAGATTCTCCTGCCACCGAACTCGACACACTCCACATCACGGCTGCGCCTAGAAATTCTGTCCATAAAGGTAATGAACAGAACCGGCGACAAAGGGCAGCACTGGCGGAGTCCAACCCTCACCAAGAACAGGTCCGACTTACTACCGGCTATGCGGACCAAACTCACGCTCCTCTGGTAAAGGGACTGAATGGCCCTTAACAGAAAGCCACCCACCCCATACTCCTGGAGTGTCCCCCACAGGGTGGAAGTATATGGCTTAAAAAAATAAACTCAAAACATAATGATAGTGTCCCTTTGCTTCTGGGATGTGTCCAAAATGCTTTGCTTTGCTGCCAGTGGAAAGGAACCCATCTGCTATAACGGTGGCTAATTGCTGCGTAGTACGTACCTCAGCCGTTTTGCAGCACTTTCATGTCCGGTGGAATAAAGGGGATAGTGTACATGAAGGATGATTCTAAGGTGACCTTAGGTTTGTGCAAGTCTATGGTTCTCTTTCCTCTGTTTTGTATCCTGGAATCTCTTTTTGATTTAGTCCTATTTTATGCGCCTTCTAAAAAAAAACTTCAGAAAAATTATTTATGATTATATGCATTTATTATATTTTCTATTTGAGCCTTGAATCTGTCCGACAAGAAAAGGGCGCCTGCTGCAATTTACTTCCATGTGCTGATAACAGAAAAGGAATAAAGCACTGAAACAAAAGCAGCTGCAGCTCTCCACTCACACCTGCACACATAAACAGTATAGCAGTGCTCAGACGTTTAAATGTTTATTTTATGTCAGCCTTCCCAAGCTTAGCCTGTGGGCTGAATGGTATATTGTTCAAATACATAAAAAAATTCTGTATCAGCAAGGCTGAAACGATAAAGACTGACTTGTTTAAGTAAGAAAAATGGTACAAAGTGTTTCACCCCTAATTTGCATTAAAGTCAGACTGAAACACTTTTGCTTTATATTGGCTTTAGTTTGTGAAGAAGATGTGAAATTTAAGGTCATATCATTTTAGATCTCAGTCTGTCATGTATGAGCTTATAGTTCCAAAAAAATAACAGAATATTCTCCAAGTGCACTTGTCTACACCGGCACATGGTGTGCAACTGGAAACAGAGATGATGTGTGAACCAATTGAGTCGTCAACGACTTTATGACTCATTTTTGCTTTCAATAACTGACTTTTATGAAAAATCATTTTTCTTCAGAAGATAAATCATTGGCTTCATGGCAGGACACGATATAGCTAGGTATAATACCTTTGTGAAAACTGTGAGATGACTAATGTGACAGAAATGCTTATCCTGATGGCTGGCATGCATTAATAAACAGCAGCACTGTGCTCCTGGCCCTAATATGATGCAAAACCATATATACTGTGATTCATGTTGCTTTTGCTGTTTAGATTTTTGTCACCACAACTTTGCTCCCTTGTTTTATAAATGCAATCAGGATGTCACTATAGGATTCCCAGGACCGTTTTGCCATACTTACATATTGCTGCCAAAATTAAAAACTCCCTGTCCCTTTGGAAGGCAGAGAAAATAGTTCATGCATTTGTTACTTCTGTGATGGACTATTGCATTTTTATAGTCAGGTTGTCCCATAAAATGAATAAAACAGCAGATTCAGATAACTGTCTGCCTCAAACAGAACCAAAAAGAAAAGATTATCTAAATGATGATAAATCTCTATAGTCTTGCGTTAAATTCAAAATTTTAAGGATGAGGCTTTATATGAGGGACTGAAGCATCATTCAAAAGCAAATAAATAAATATTTAATTGGAAGTATCCCTTACTGTTAAAAATTATTTTTGTTTTAAATATATGAGCTGTGGAATCTTTCCATTTGGTTTTTATTTTTTTCCAGGCACCACGTGTGATTGAAGACATTACATGATGAGCCACACAGGAAGTGAGGTGCGCCAGCGAGGTGCATCACCTTTATTTCAAAATAAAATCTTTGTTGCATGATTCTGTCAGGCTTCTTTTGTTATTATTCATGACAGAGCTTTTGGTTTACAGTTCATGATGATTCAAGGAGACAAGTGTGGCATTCATTAATCAGTTCCTCTCTAT